GCACCAACCCTCTGATTAGCATCTACCCAGATCTGCTCCCCTCCTCAACCACTCACTCTATTCCCATAACTCTGCATTTACCATGGCTAATTCAGCTAGCCTTCATATCCCTGGAAACTACAGGGGGAATTTAACAGCCAATTCAGTTAACCCACACATCTTTGTATTGTGGGCGAAAACCAGAGCACCCAGCAGAAACTCATACAGACACAGGAAGAACATGCAGACTCCACACAGACAGTCATCCAAGGCTGGAACAGAACCCAGGTACCTGGCACTGTTTGGCAGTGGTGCGAACAACTGTGTCATGGTGCCGCTTTGTATTGCTTTTTTCCCTCCACACATAGAGAGAGGGGAAGAGATAGTTGCTTCCTGCTTCAGGCCCTATATATTTCTCTCCACTCCCTCCTGGTGTTACAGCTTTTTGACATTCAGCAGTACAACCAGAGGGCAGCTGTCAGGCAGTATTTCCTTAACGACAAACTTTCGCTGCTGCTCAGACTTGAATTCTTCCTCTTTCTGCTTCAAATAACAACACTGCATCACACAGTTCAAAAAATATACAATTGATTTTTAAGTTTCAAAATTCTCCTGGTATTTCAGTTACAGCAGTCCAACCTCTATTTTAGTTTATAGTCCCTGAAGAGAAAAATGTCGCCTTTTAAACACAGGGAAGAATTTCCAACCCAATCTTGATTGGAGCCTTACAGATGGTGGACAGGCTTTTGGGGATAGGAGATGAGTTACTCATCGCAGAATTGTCAACATCTGATCTAGTTATATATCCAGTATTTATATGGCTGGTCTGTCTCAATTTCATCGTGGTAACCACCAGACTGTTGATAGTGATGGTATTATGTATCAGAGTGTCCTTGAACATCAAATTTGATTCTCTCTTGTTTAAGATGATCGTGTGGTGTGAATGTTACTTGTTAAGTATTCACTCAAGCCTGGATATTGTCCAGGTATTGCTGCATATGGATTCAGATTGCTTCCATGTCTAAGGAGTCCAAGTACTGAATGTGCAGAACGTTGTGTAATCATCAGTGAACATCCCCATTTCTGGCCTTACCTTGGAGGGAAGGTCATTGAGAAAGCAGCTGAAGATGGTTGGACTGAGAACACTACATGGAAGAATTCATGGAAATACATGCAATTCTTACATGAATTGTCTACTATGTTAGAAAATCCATGTTTAAATCATAGAAGGGAGAAGTAGTAGCCTTCAAAAACTATACTGATAAAGAAATCTTTGAGAATTTCTTCAGAGCACTCTGAGCATTAAAAGGCACAGTAAGTGCAAGCTATTTTGTTTTTTAAAAAGACTCATTTCATGTCGTGTGCATTTGCTATATCAGTGAGCAATGTTGCAGAACACCCTTGTTTTCCAGTTATAGAAGAGTCACAAAGGTTAATCCAACAGTAACAGCAAGGCTTCATGTTCTCCGGAGCAAATTCTGGAAAGATTTGGAACCATAGAAGGTGATTGGCAAAGCTCTGAAACACTGGGAAGGCCGTTTCATCCAAACACTTACTGATAACAAATATGAGCTATCCCATACAAAACAGTGTGGGATGATGCAGTTTATTTCATGCAACACCATGTTCCTTTTCATCGTCAATATTTATGTTTCCAGAATGTCAGAGTAACAGATAATTTTATTTTTGTTTCAGCAACAACCATGTATTTTAAAATTGAGAGGTGAGTGAGCACAACTCTCTGATCTCTACCCACATGGTTATGCTAAAACATGAAACTCTTAATACAGTGGCAACATTGTAGCCTCGACTTCTCTGTAATTTGACACAGCCTTTAATGATAAATACCATATAATGAAAGACTAGTGCAGTCATAAAAGCATACTCTGCAACATTTAATGGCCTAAACTAGTTCTTGTTCTTACAGAAAGAATCCCCAAAATAAAAATGCACTCCAGGAAAGTTATAAAAACACAAATCAAAACAGATAGCAAAACTGTATTCTTTAGAAACTGGGTGGATCAGAAAAGACAGAGGTTGGCAAAGGGAAAAACTCATTTGACTTATTTTAGTAACAGTTTAATCCATAATACAGGCAGCACCTTTCAAAATCTTTTTTTTAATTCATGGGATGTGGGCATCGCTGACTAGATCAGCATTTATTGCCCATCCCTAATTGCTCAGAGGGCACTTTAAGAGTCAACCTCATTGCTATGGGTCTGGAGTCACATGTAGGCCAGACCAGGTAAGGATGGCAGTTTCCTTCCACAAAGGACATTCGTGAATGAGATGGGTTTTTCCAACAATCGAAAATGGATTCACGGTCATCATTAGGCTCTCAATTCCAGATTCTTATTGAATTCCAATTCCACCATCTGTCATGGCAGGATGCAAGCCCGGGTCTTTGAAACTGGGTCTCTGGATTAGCAGTCCAGCAATAATACCACAGGGCCATCACCTCTCCTTCCATTACACTATTTAAGCAAAGATCAAAATATTCAATCTGTAATCATTCTTCTTTAGCAGTCCCTCAACACAGTGGATGACTTTATTCCACTCTGGAGTTGAAGGTCCTCGGCTGACAACACTTCAATTCTGGATCTGCAACATCGTGCCACTTTTGGGGCAGCTGACATTTGAAGAGATAGGTAGGTGGAATGTTCAGATTTCCACACTTCCCTGACCTCCCTTATGCTTGGCTTCCACCTGAAACGGTTAGAAATGTTCGAGATAGTTGGCAACTTCTTTGGTTTCAGGGGTCTAGGACAAGGGATTCCCATGAGTTGGTGCAGATACTGCATTTTTCAGGAAGGCTTTGAGGACATACTTGAGACATTTTGTACCAACCTGGTAACTGCTTGCCACGTTAGAACTCAGAGTAGGGGACTTGTTTTGGAATCTTGTGTCAGACATGTGGACAATGTGGTCTGTCCAATGTGGCTGATAAGCAATAATCAGTACCTCAGTGCTGGGGATATTGGCCCGAGAGAGAGAACATTGACATTGGATACCTACCCCGTGAGGGGATTTGCAGGACTTTGCAGCGACATTGGTGGTAATATTTCTCTACGGATTGGAGACATCTGGTGTACATTGTCCACATCTCTGGTGCATACAATAAGGTCAGATTAACGCTACTGTCTGTAGGTTTTTTTTTAAAATTCATTCATGGCATGTGGGCGTCACTGGTTAAGCCAGCAATTATTGTCCATCCCTAATTGCTCAGAAGGCAGTTAAGAGTCAACCACATTGCTGTGGGTCTGGAGGCACATGTAGGTTGGGCCAAGTAAAGATGGCAGTTTCCTCCCCCAAAGGACATTAATGAACCAGACAGGTTTTTCTGATTATCATCAATAGATTCATGGAATCATAAGTAGACTCTTTAATTCCATACTTTTTTAAAATTGAATGCACCAGCAGCCTATAGGTTCCCAGCTGTAAGATGGGCCTTTTTAACTTCATGGTGTTGAAAAGCTTCTGAATAAAAGACCATTAAAGGCAAGCATTCACAAAGCTCCAGCAAGACAGGAACTTATGCACAAAGAGAGCAGATATAAATGAGTTCTTCCTTGACAGATTTTCTGAATAGGTCACCAGGCATTTTTGTGGCCCTTGCAGGTATCAAGCAAAATTAAAGTTTACAACAGAAGCTGGTCTGGATGTATTCAAAATACACTGTTTCTTAGCTAATATGGTACTAGATATTACCACATAACCTAGACTGACACTTCAATTTGATACTGAATGTGCTATACTGTTGCAGGCACCACATTTCAGATTAGGTACTCAAATAAAGCCTTTGTCTGGCTGTGTAGCTAAGTATAGAAGTTTCCACGGCACAGTACAAAGACACGACCCTGAACAGAATTTCACCCCTTTAACAAAAAAAACATAACTGGTCATTTACCTTGTGCTTGGTTTCACTAAGTGTTAATGTTACATTGGCAATTGACTACACTTCTAAAGTAATTCACCCAATGTGAAATACATTGAAATGTGTTGAGAATGTAATAAGGGTTTATAAAATAAGCATGTCAGAAAAGATCAGCAGTTTACCACGCTACACATATTATTTTGCTCCGTTATACCTGCAGGCCTTGGCATATTTCTGGTTTCTCAAACTCTACATCACCAGTGAGTCCAATGTAGAGATTAGCTATTTGTTACACAGATATCAGTAGCTAATATGCAAGATCAGATAGCACTACCAATACTTATATTCGATTAATTCTTGTTTGGCCTTATGCCTCCAAATTAAACATGTTGAACCGCTGCTCCATAGTAAAGATAATCTGGTGTAAAGCAGATAACTCCTCTCATTTACACCTCAGGCAGAATAATGCCCACTTCACCAACTATGATTTGGGAATGGGCGGGTGGAGGTGGAACGGTCAATATATGTACCATCAACCTACCATCCCTGCCAAACACTCTGTCATGCTTCCACAATGGGATTCCTTTCACTTTGTTTTAATTTCAATTTTTGCCTCTCCATTCCTACCAAGCCAGACAAAAGGCTGGCACTGACTTGAAGTATTTGTTAAACTTTTATGAAGTTTTCCATGTGGCCAGTTAATACTGGATTTCACCTAAACAAATTCTGTAAGCACTCAAGTAAGCTAGATTCCAAGGCTGCACAGGAAACTGAAGAATTATTTTTAAAAAGGCTGACTAGAAAAAATGCAGGCGGTCAGTAATCTGTACTTCTGGCTAGATTTGGACTGGAAATTAGTCACTCTTTACTTAACTCTGCTGTAAATTTTAAAATATCAATAATGCTTATATTCTGGCAGGTGAAATGTTTGTACTGCAGGTTTTGGGTCTGCACAAAGAGATCTCTCACCTCTGTGCTTTATTGCCCTTGGTAAGTCTAATACCAGTTTTGCGTTGCTAACTGTGCAAATCTACTTTGCACTAATGAAGTAGCGGCAGTACAAATGCAGTCTCAAGGGACTGAAATCAGTTTCACTCTAACAGTGTTCCTCACAGAATGGGACAAAAAAGCACATGCTATACGGTACCTGTGAGTTTTATTTTAGACAGTCTCGCATAGATCCCTGGTAGATCTGATAGTTGCACTTTCATCTCTTTCCACTGCTTTGCTTCCTTGATGCCTTGGGCAGTGTCTTTATCGTCAGCCATTGCTGTCTTCTCTGTCATGTTGTCGTCTTCAAGACTGGATGGATACGACGTAATAGCAGGAATTTGTTGTACTGATCGGATGACCGCTTCATCATTGGCAATAGATTGTTTCTCTGGAAAAGGTGATGCTGATGGTGCAGCTTTGGGTTTTGCATGTTGGTACAGTCCTTTATCAATTTTGGTTACATACTACAAGAGAAAGAAATGATAGTGCTTCTTAGTTTAAGCACCCAAACATCTTTCAGTGTTTTTATGCTTATATATTAGAAAAAGAATGTGTGAAACAAATTTATAGTGATTGTTTTTAAGTGCTAGTTGACTTTTCAGATTGAAATCATGTCCTATTCAATCTGAATTGCTATCTGGTATTTACCTTGCAACATGATCCCTACTGACATTGAGTTTAGATTGTTCTTAATAATTTACTTTTGAATAAGGGAATATGTAAAATGCTGATGAAGCAAATTGGATGTTGCATTCAACATTATAATTTTCCCTACCTCTGAATTAGGTGGCCGGGGGGTTCAAATCCCAGCTGTTCCAGAGATGTGTATTAGCATACTGAACAGGTTGATTGGAAAACATTAACATCCAATGGACTTCTGTTAAATTTCACTTTTGAAACACAGTCTAATATTATTAAACACAACAGTGCTGCATTTACTGTATGTCATGGTCTTCTTGAATCTTTGTGGAATCTTCTAGGAAACCAGAGCTGAGGAGAAGTGCAGATATTCAAAGTGGCTAATTTTACTGGCTGCACATTAATAAACAACATCCACTGCTCTGCCATCATCAATCTTTTTGGTAACTTCCTCAAAAACTCAAGCAAGTTTGTGAGACATGATTTTCCTCGCACAAAACCATGCTGACTATCCCTAATCAATTTTTGCCTCTCTACATGTCCATAAATCGCATCTTTTATAATCACCTCCAACAATTTACCCACAATCAAAGTCAAACTCACAGGTCTATAGCTCCCTGGTTTCTCCTTACAACCTTTCTTAAACAAAGGTACAACATTAGCCACCCTCCAATCATCAGGCATCTCACTTGTTGTTATAGATAATGTTAATATTTCTGCAAGGGTTCTTGTAATTTCCTCCCTTACTTCCCACAACCTTCTGGGATACATTAGATCAGGTCCCAGACATTTATCCACCTTTATATTCTCCAAGGCCTCCTGAACCTCCTTTTCGGTAATGTGCATTGTTTGTAAAACACATTTTATTTCTCTGCATTCTCTAGACTCCATTTTTTTCTCCACGGTAAAAACTGATGTGGAATATTCATTTATTATCTCTCTCATCTCCTGGGATTCAACACAAAGATGACATCCATGATCTTTAAGAGGCCCTACCCTCTCTCTAGTTACCCTCTTGCTCGTGATGTATTGTAGAATCTCTTTGGATTATCCTTCACCTTCCCTGACAATGCTATCGCATATCCCCTCTCTGCCTTCCTTAAGAATGCTCCTACACTCTCCACATTAAGAGATTCAATTGAACCAAGTTGTCTACATCTAAAGTAAGATTCTCTTTTATTCTTGACTAGAACCTCTATCTTTATTCATCCATTGTTCCTTAATCTTACCAGTCTTACCCTTCACTCTATCAGGAACAAAACGCCACTGACCTCTCATCATCACACTCTTGAATGCCTCCCACTTGTCAGACGTCCTTTTACCTACGAACAGTCTACTCCAATCAACTTTTGAAAGTTATTCTTTTGGCCATCATCAGCAAAATTGCCAACTTAGTGTTAATCAGTGCTGAATCATACATAATTACATCCATTGTGAACCTGATTACCAATACACATACTTATTCCATGTAGAATCTTTACATCTAGTAAACAACAAATCTTTCCACATTTATTTTACATTGACTCCTTGAATCCTGGTTTTAAATCCAAAGTGCTGTATGCAAATTTACACAGACACCATTCCCTGAACAAATCTACATTTCAATAATGTAAGTATCGAAAAAAACTGAGCAACAATGGACTGTGGAGTAATACATTTCAGATCAAAACAGAGAATTTCAAGTTCAAAAGCAATTTAAACTCCAACTTGTCAAACATCGTATTCCAAAATTATTTATTTCCTTTGTGTTCTTTAAACAGTCAATTTCAATTCAAATTTCACACGTGGACTGATGAACAGCGTTAAAAACAAATTTTCCAACTTTTACATTTTTGTGAATTGTTAACTATTTTGCTTCATGCTAACAATGAATTGATTGCTGTATGCAGAAGCAAATTGCACACAAGTTTGCAAATTGCCTACTTTTGTCGACAGTTAATAAAAATGTGAAATCAAGCATTAACTTTCTTGGCAATGTGATAATATGTCTGTTAGGGTTGGGCTGCACTCAAAATATTCTTCCGTGTTTCCTTTCGTAAAATATGACTGGCAAACAAAACACAATATGTCAGACTGAAATTATACAATAGAATTGCATAACCATCTGTATAAATGAGACACACAAAGTCAGAAAAGAACAGAAAACAATGGGCTATTCAAGTTCTTAGAACTTCTAAGAAGTTCTTAGAAGTGTCAAAACCAGTAACCTATTTGTGGTATCTGGTGAGACCAAGAAATTGTAAATACTGAAGATTGGTGATTTGCATTTACTAAAACGAATTTCCACATAAAGTTGAAAAGCAATTAATGGTTATCCTTTTGCAGTCTACAATGGCATTTCTCAAAAGCCTGCTCCAATTGATAATTCACATGAATGATATTGGTAATTCCTTCACTGTCACTGGGACAAAATCCTGGAACTCTTTCCCTGATGGCACTGTAGGTGTCCCAACACCACAGGGACTGTAGTGGTTCAAGAAGGTTGCTCACCACCACTTTACCCAGGAGCAATTAGCGACGGGAAATAATTGTCGACCCAACTAGTGATGCTCACATCCTAGAGATGAGTGAAAAAAAAGGTCAGTCAGTGACTAATGTCGAGCAAAATTTTGTTATAGAAAATCAGGAGAAGAAAATTCTCGAACAGCAATTGCAATTCATGAAAACTTGACAATACAAATAACAATGACAGACAATATCACTGATGACTGTGGGAATCAACGGCACCTCCAGACAAAGTCATGAGATCTGGATGTGTCAGCAAAGTACCTCGATATTACGGAGACCTGTAAGCTCCTTTGCTACTATAAATAGTTAAACTTTCCTTTGGAAAGGAGGGGCATGTTGCACGTATATTTTATCATTCACAATCCACATGCTGCATGTATACATAGTTGTGGCATTGCCTGGCTGTTTGTCTGCTTTGAGTTTGCAAGCTGCATGCACTGTTAGTTTGCTGTCATGTCTGCTTCATAACTTGCAATGTGTTTTACTCTTTTGAATAAACTAATACACAGAAGTTATCACTTTGGATGACTAATTGTTAGACAGCAGTCTCCTACACACAAACATTTACAAGGAACAGAACTAGCTTGTAAGTTCACATGAAGAGTCATCAGCATTTTCGTTCTCAGGTCTGCTGAGCATTTTCAATATTTTCTGTTATACTTCCAGATTCTAGCATCCACAATATTGTGCTTTTGGACACATTTTTCAGGAAAGGGTTTTGAAATGATTTATATTTTCACTATACTCAGTAATTCCAAGAAATAAATTATTTTTCAACCACACATATTCTAGTCAAGAACCCTAAAATGCACAGTACAGTTTCTTTCCTGCATTACACTCAGCAAATTCTTGCTCCTTTCCAACAGGCTATCGAACAGATCTGAACAGAATTTTAAGAAACATTTGCTGTTATCAGGAGTGCCTAATGACTAGGTTTCAATGGGCAGTCAAGATGTTGTGTGGAAAATCCAAGTCGTAACAAATTGGCAAAACCATTTCCTTGGAGCAAATTTGTTCTTGGAATGGGATTCACTCAATTTTAACTTGATAATTCAGACATATTAAATCACCATGAAAACACGCAGCAATTTTTGGAGGAATTCATAATGATTATCATAACACTGAATAATCATCTGTTCATTGGAGTCAGATTCTTCCCTCAATAATCAATCAAGATAATTACAAAGGTTAAAGTCTTAAGAGTTTTCATCTGCACTGGTAAATCTTAGTCAAGCGCAAGGAGTGATTGAATGCAACTAACGCATCATTTTTTGAATAGAGTAACTATATAGAACAATCAAATTTCCATACAAAACAATGACTACACTTCAATGTCAATGCAGCTCTTTGGGGAACTCTAAGGATATGAAAGGTGCTTCGTCCTTGCCACTGGCCAGTTTTCTAATAAATCTTGCTAGAAGATTTTATTTTCTGCAGAATAAGTTCAAAAATTTTTCACAAAACTACGCTTCTGTAGAAAAAGAGACAAAAAGCAAAATAATTTTTAAAGTGCGCATACCTGGAGCCTTTTGAATATGCTCACAAAGATTAGAAAAGATTATGCCAAAGATAAAACCCAGGACCTGATCAGGTCTACCCCAGAAATTTGTGGGAAGCTCAGGAAGAGATTGCTGGGCCCCCTGTTGAGATATTTGTATTATCGATAGCTACAGGTGAGGTGCCTGAAGATTGGAAGTTAGTTAGCGCTGTACCAGTATTTAAGAAAAGGTGGTAAAGAAAATCCAGGGAACTACAGACAGGTGAGCCTGACTTCAGTGGTGGGCAAGTTGTTGCAGGGGATTCTGAGGGACAGGATTTACATGTATTTGGAAAGGCAAGGACTGATTAGGGATAGACAACATGGCTTTGTGCGTGGGAAATCGTGCCTCAGTAACTTGATTGAAGTGACGAAGAGGATTGATAAAGGCAGACTGATGGACTTGATCTATATGGACTTTAGTAAGGCATTCAACAAGACTCCACACAATAAACTGGTTAGCAAAGTTAGAACTCACGGAATCCAGGGAGAGCTAGCCATTTGGATACAGAACTAGTTTGCAGGTAGAGGACAGAGGGTGGTGGTGGAGGGTTGGTTTTCAGACTGGAGGCCTGCGACCAGCAGTGTGTCACATGGATGGTGCAGGGCCCATTGCTTTTCATCATTTATATAATGATTTTGTTGTGAACACAGAAGGTATGGTTAGTAAGTTTGCAGATGACGCCAAAATTGGAGGTGTAGTGGACAGCGACGGGGGTTACCTCAGATTACAATGGGACCTTGATCAAATGGGCTGATGGGCCGAGGTGACGCAAACAGAGTTTCATTTGGATAAATGTGAGGTGCTGAATTTTGGAAAAGCAAATCAGGGCAGGACTTATACACTTAATGGTAAGGTTCTGCAGAGTGCTGCTGAACAAAGAGACCTTGGCGTGCAGGCTCCAAGTTCCTTGAAAGCGGAGTTGCAGGTAGACAGGATAGTGAAGGCGGCATTTGGTCTGCTTAGATAACAAGGTGTAGAGCTGGATGAACACAGCAGGCCAAGCAGCATCAGAGGAGCAGGAAAGCTGACATTTCGGGTCTGGACCCTTCTTCAGAAATGGTATGCTTGCCTTTATTGATCAGTGCATTGAGTACAGGAGTTGGGAGGTTATGTTAGACCAAAAGACACAGGAGCAGAAATTAGGACATTCAGCCCATCAAGTGTGTTCTGCCATATAATCATGGCTGATAAGTTTCTCAACCCTATTCTCTCTCTTTCTCCCCATAACCCTTGATCCCCTTGACAATCAAGAACCTATCTACCTCTGTCTTAAATATACTCAATGACCTGGGCTCCACAACCTTCTGTGACAATGAATTCCATTGATTTACCACTCTCTCGCTGAAGAAGTTTCTCATCATCTCTGTTCTGAAGGGTCTTCCCTTTACTCTAAGGCTGTACCCTTAGGTCCTAGTCTCTCCTACCTATGGAAACATCTTCCTAATGTCCACTGTCCAGGCCGTTCAGTATTCTGTAAGTTTCAATTATATCCTCCCTCATCCTTATAAAATCCATTGAGTATAGACCAGAGTCCTCAAACATTTCTCACATGTTAAGCCTTTCATTCCTGGGATCATTCTCGCGAACTTCCTATGGACAAGCTCCAGGGCCAATACATCCTTCCTGAGGTACGGGGTGCAAAATTGATCACTAGACTCTAAATGTGGTCTGACCTGAGCTTTATAAAGCCTCAGATGTACATCCCTGCTTTTATATTCTGGTCCTCTCGAAATAAATACCAACCATTGTATTTGCCGCACAACAAAAACAAAGTTGCTGGAAAAGCTCATCAGGTCTGGCAGCATCTGTGGAGGAGAAAACAGAGTTAACGTTTCGGGTCCGGTGACCCTTCCTCAGAACTGATGGTGGCTGGGAAAACGTCAGTTTATATGCAGAAAATAGGGAGGTGGGTGGGGTAGTGAGTAAACGATAGGATAGAGCCCAAAGAGAGAGAAAGACAGTTGGACAGACAAAGGAGCTGATAACAATCAGGCTGGGAGGGTGAATAGTTGTTAATGGGGACTGTTAGTGACTAACAACAGGGGGTGTGTAGTGGCAGGCTATGTGGTAACAAGGCCCGGTGTGTGGGGTGGGGGACTGGGACATGGGAGAGTTTAGACCCTAAAAGTATTGAACTCAATATTGAGTCTGGAGGGCTGTAGGGTCCCCAAGTGGAAAATGAGGTGTTGTTCCTCCAGCTTGCGCTGGGCTTCACTGGAACACTGTAGCAAGCCGGAGACAGAGATGTTGGCCAGGCAACAAGGTGGTGCATTGAAGTGGCAGGCAACAGGTAATTCAGGGTCTTTTTTGTGAGCAGAACGTAGATGTGCTGCAAAGCGGTCGCCAAGTCTACGCTTCGTTTCCCCAACGTAGAGGAGACCACATTGTGAGCAGTGAACGCAGTAGACCAGATTCTGTGAAGTGCAGGTGAAGTGTTGCTTCACCTGGAAGGTATGTTTGGCCCTTGGATACTGGGAAGGGAGGAGGTAAATGCGCAGGTGTTGCACCTCCGCCAGTTACAGGGGAAGGTGCCGTAGGGCTGTGGGGAGGTGTTGGGGGTGAAGGAAGTATGGACTAGGGTGTCCTGGAGGGAACGGTCCCTGCGGAAGGCAGACAAGGGAGGGGAGGGGAATATGTGTCTGGTGGTGGCATCTTGCTGGAGGTGGCGGAAATGGCGTCTGATGATCTTCTGTATGTGGATGCTGGTGGGATGGTAGGTGAGGATAAGGGGAACCCTATCGCTGTTGCGGGAGGGAAGAGAAGGGTTGAGGGCATTGTATTTGCCTTCGTAACTACCGACTCAACCTGCAAGTTTACTTTAAGTGGACCTTGGACTAGAACTCCCAGTCCCTTTCCACTTTAGATTTCTGAATTTTCTATCCATTTAGAAAATAGTCCATGCCTCTATTCTTCCTGTCAAAGTTCATGACTTCACACTTCTCCACGTTGTATTCCATCTGTTACTTCTTTGTGCACTCTCCTAACCTGTCTAAATCCTTCTGCAGTCTCCCTAACTCCTCAATACTACCTGTCCCTCTACCCATCTTTGTATCATCTGCAAACATAGCCAGAATGCCCTGAGTTCCTTCATCTCGATCAATAACGTATAAAGGGAAAAGTTGTGGTCCCAAAGCTGACCCTTGTGGAATATCACTAGTCACCGGCTGCCATCTTGAGAAGGACCGTTTTATCCACATACTCTGCTTTCTAGTACCTTGCCTCCAACAAAATGGGCCCTTATCTTACTCAGCAGCCTCCTATGCAGCACCTTCCACCTTCTGGAAGTTCAGGTAGATATTATCCATTGGCTCTTCTTGGTCTATCCTGCTTGTTACCTCCTCAAAGAATTCTAACAGATTTGTCAGGCATGACCTTCCCTTGATGAAACTATGCTGACTTCGCGCTAGTTTACCACGCACTTCCAAGTATTCAGAAATCTCATCCTTCACAACGGACTCCAAAATCTTACCAACAACCAAGGTCAGGCTAATCTGCCTATAATTTCCCGTCTTTTCCCATACTCCCTTCTTAAGTAGGAGGGCTATATTAGTGATTTCCCAGTCCTCTGGGACCTTCCCTAACTCCAGCAAATCCTGAAATCACCAATAACACCTCCACTAGCTTTTTGGCTATCTCCTTCAAAACAGCTCTGGGGTGTAGTCCATCTGGTCCAGGTGATTTATCAACCTTCAGATCTTTCAATTTTTCTAACACCTTTTCCTTGGTGATAGCCACACACTCACCTCTGTCCTCTGACTCGCTTGAATTTTTGGGATATTACCCATGTCTTCCACCATGAAGACTGACACAAAGTGCTTATTCACTTCTTCAGCCATTTCTTTGTTCCCTATTACTACTTATCCAGCATCATTTTCCAGCAGTCCAATGTCCACTTTTGCCCTTTATATATCTAAAGAAACTCTAGCAATCTGGTTTTATGTCGTAGCTGTACAGGTCATTGGCTAGGTCACTTTTGGAACACTACTTAAAAAGGTTCAGAACAGGTTTACAAGAATGTTGCAAGGGTTGGACTATAACGAGACGCTGAATAGGCTGGGGCTATTTTCCCTGAAGCACCAGAGGCTGAGGGATGACATTATAGAAGTTTATAAAACGATGGGCATGGATAGGGTGAATAGCCAAGGTCTTTTCCCCAGGGTAGGAGAGTCCAAAACTAAAGGGCACAGGTTTAAGGCAGGAGGGGAAAGGTTTAAGAGGAATCTAAGGAGTAACTTTTTCACACAGAGGATGGTGCATGAATGGAATGAACTGCCAGAGGAAGTAGTAGAGGCTGGTACAATTACAACATTTAAAAGGCATCTGGATGGGTATATGAATAGGAAGGGTTTAGAGGGATATAGGCTAAATGTTGGCAAATGGGATTAGATTAATTTAGGATATCTGGTCAGCATGGACAAGTTGGACCAAAGGGTCCGTTTCCATGTTGGACAGCTCTACGAGTCTAATTTGAGTTCAAGGATGGGGTTGGGGATGAGGAGAAAAGAGTAGCTTCTCTGCTGCATGGGCCATATTTTCCTCCAGTGTTTGCTCTGAGCTGTTTTTTCTCCTGCGTGATGAGACCAGCAGCACAATATCAATGCATTCATATTAGCTTAGTCATCAACTGCTCCTCCACTCTGTTGCCTTGGAACTGTCTCTACTGACTCCTATCCAACCTTTCATTGCTGTTTTAAAATTAGTTATAGAGAGATTTGAAAATCTACAGGAAAATGGAGACAAATTGGTCATTCAAAATATCACAGCACTAAGAAAATGAAGCAATGGCAGATAAGAAATTGTTGGTTAGAATGAGAAGTAATAAATAAAGAATGTACTTGTTGATGCTCATTAAGAGAAACAGAGAATTGGTTCACAAAGAGACTGCTTTCATGAGTACAGGACTTCAAGATTTTATGAGGTTGCATAGTATATAGACCACTTTTTACTTAATGTACGGTGCATTAATGTACTGTTAAGGAGACACATTACATCAATCAGTTGCTAAATTATTCAATCAGAATCATTACTAAAGCTACTTGTATTGATAGCTATGCAAGATTAACTTCTTTGTTTTTCATCATTTTCTTCCATGCAAATCTTTGGGTACACATTGAAGTTTCCATTATTACAGCAATAAAGAAAGCATCCTTAAAGCAGCAGTTCCACACAATTGGTCCACTAACTCAAAGTATTGTTCTTTGGTTGAGTTTAGAAAAATTCAACCAAAATTTAGGTTTTAAATCAGTCTTGACACAATGCTGAAGTATCTATATTTTTAATAAAAAGACGATTAGAGATTCTTCTGTCTTCAAAGGGTTTAGGCTTTCTTTCAAATGTTAACTCATCATGTGGTCAAAATAATAATTAAAGATAATTACTTGCATAAAAATAACTGGTTACACAAAGTGAGTGGGTTTATTTACTTAAAATCTAAATATAGCCTTGCTGTCCTAAAACATGAGCTTATTAATAATTGTGAAACTGAAAATACGTGCTTAAAGCCACAGGTGAAATACAGAAACTTACTTTACAATACATCTTCTAACAATATACAGGTTAAGACATGATAGCATTAATTTCGTCCTTAAGTTTTGAATAGAGCAGCTGCTGCTCAATCATCCTGCTTATTGCAGTTTAGAAAAGAGACAAAATGTAATCTCCCATTGATCAGATAACTTAGAGACAAATAGTTGACTTTCAAGTAAAATACTTGTCATATTTCATTGGAAACCATTGGGGTAAGTTTGTCAAGAATTCTTAAATTGTGAGCAGAAGAAAGGCTCTTTTCAAATGATTTTCAAGAAGGGAGGGTATTCCACTCTCTTTCTGTACAGATTACCAGGCAAGCTAGCACGGAACGTTTTCTTTATCATCTCCGAAGTCCTTGAACATATTGTAAATGGCAAAATATCTGCTCTTACACTCCTTGCAATCAATTTCAACAAACAACATTGTCTTAAACTATGATCTTGGTCCATTCTGTCTCTGTGAACTGGCTGCAGCCTTTGGAATAGTTGGCACATCATTCTCCTCCATCATCATCCAATTTCGTGGGGTTGTTGTCAACTGGATTGGCTCTGAACTATTCAAATCACAAGCAATGCACCTCAGCAATTGTCTTCCTTCTCACTCCTATGCTATTAAGACCAGAGCTCCCGAAAAACCATTCTTCAATTCTTCATAACCGTATTCAGACCCAACCTTAGCATATGACTCCACAATCATCTCTATCACAAAGACTGCCTGTGCTGTCAATTTCAGCCAAGTACATCTGTTCCTAATATTTTCCTTGACTGCCTTCAGGTGCACCTAGTTAAGGAGTGTCCTGGGCAGCTTCCCATTTTCTGTTAACTTCAGCTCAGTCAAAGCTTTGCTCGGCATCATATCAAGGCCCACTTGCCCAGTACCAGTAGAACTCAATGGCTTAACATTTAACATTCTCATTGTTGCATTTAAAACCCTTTGTGGCCTTGATCCTTAAAATCTCTGTAACCTTATCTATTCTGATAATGATCCATTCTATATATCTGACTGGCCTCCTATGCAATATCCCCTCCCTTGACCATAGCTCTGGGAGTTGCATCTTCAATTGCTTTAGCCTCCCATCCTGGAGTTTTCTCCCTAATGCAATCCCCTGTTCCATCTCCCCATTTTAACTTATGAGGCTCAAAAAATCAGCTCTTGGCAAAGCTCTTGATCATCCACACTAATCCTGTTTCTTTTCTTCATATGTGTTTTTTGGTCACAATCTGTTACGTTTGAACGTTTATCTCCATTCATGGTACTATATAGATTCCAACTGTAGCTTAACATTCCCAGGATAAACTGGCATCCTTTTAATGTCCAATTCACCATTATCCCTGAAATAATCAGGCTGAGATTTGATGATTCATTTTTAATCAGTAAGTGGTTTAAAAAAGTGCTTAAGAATCTGAGAGAAATCTATTACTTATTTCTACTTCTCATCATAATATTGAAGAATATGGGAAAATGCAATTGCAACAGCAACTCAAATGTCAGAGCTGCTCATATTTAATCCGATTCCTTTCAGAGATCCACAAATCAAAATTTGCTCTCTAGGGCGTACGATTAAACACGTCATTTTTTTCACAAGATATTTATTCTGAAACGTCTCTTACAATGAGGGGTAAATTAAGAATTGGTGCGTATTTAATTCCATTCCTGTTTCAAAACACTTCACAATAATGCATTAATATAGCATCCTTAACACAATAAACCATTAGTAAGTGTTAGCAAAAGAAATTTCACAACCAGCTACATGATGCAATATTAGGTCAAGTGACCAGAAGTTTGGTCAAAGAATTTGGTTTTAAAGAAGAAATGAGACACTGAGGTGAAGAAATGTAAGGAAAGAATTCCAAAAACTAGGCCCTAGGGATCTGAAAGCAAGGCCATCGATGGTGACGTAATTAAAAACAAAATGCTAAGAGGCCAGAATTAGCTGAGTGTGGATACTCTGGATATTTGTGGGACTAGAAGAGACCTCAGATATAGAAAGGAGAAGGCCATGAAGAGCTTTAAAGACAAGGATGAGAACTTTAAAATTGAGGCATTCCATTACCAGCAGCCAACGCAGGTCAGTGAGGACATAGGTGATAGCTAAATGTGATATAGTGAGAGTTAGGATATGGGCAGCAAAGTTTTGAATGATTTTTAGTTTATATTGGATGGAAGCTGGGATGTCATACAGGTCTCTATCAAAATATCCAAGTTTAGAAGTAACAGACAAATTATTATTTTTTATGCATACTTACAGCGTGCAATATGGCAATCAATTTGAACAAACAAGGTCCCACAAATAGATGAGATTAATGACCAGCCAATTTTTGTTGGTGTTGGATGAGAGAAGAATGATGGGCAAGACAGTGGAGGACTCCCTGTTCTTCTTAGTGCCATGGGATCTTTTATGCCTATTGTGTCCTTCTTTTAATATCTGATCTAAAGCACAGTATCTTTGAGACTGTACTGGAATGTGCTGAACCCACACCAGACTTGAACTAACAACTGTTTGACTTGTAGACAGGCGAGTTAATTATATCAGGTTGACACTTGAAAATGTAATTGCATGCTTAGAATTACCAACTTAATTACCCAGCAAAATCTACATGCCCTGTAATGATTACCATGTTTAACAAACAGATTATCAAAGAAGAGATTACATTTGCAAGTTGGAGAGTGCTGCTGAAATTTATAATCACTATGTCGCTCTTCAAAAAGAAGGATTAACATCAGTGATTCAAGTTAGAATTCTGGTCAGATATCCAAGTTTAAAAAGTTATGTTGAGCATAACCAGTAAAAAAAAATTCCATGACTCATTTGTCCTAGTTGTCACATTAACTTTCATTTTACTTACTTACACTGGTCACCCAAAATAAACTGTAGCAAAACAGCATGGAGCTAATGGATGTAAAATTTAATATCAGTAATTAGTTAGGATTTAAAACAAGAGCAGCCCACCAATAGCAACTAATCAATTGCGAATGAAGTATGTTATTAGAATGTTGCACACCTTATCTGTTGCTGTACTCAATCACAGCATGAAATATTTAGAACACAAGTAGGTACCCACAATAAAAAGTTTCACTTCTCTTCTAATGTAACTAGTTAATATTTTAACTAAAGCACAATGTAAACTACATCATTTAAGGTGAGTGGGAGACCTAGTCCACAACTCAGCTATTAAACAATAACACCCACTTGATGCCAAACACGTCACATAATAAATCCTCCTGGAATGTGCCAAAAGAGAAAATAGGAAGGGGC